TTGTTTATAAATATCACACGGTGAAAGTGTAGACCCATCTATTAACTAATTGAGATTTTTTATGGTGTCATTCAATGAAGTCAGTTCTTTAATATTTTTAAAACCGTAACTACCTATTTGCACGTTTCTTAAGGACCGGCTTCTAAAATTTAATTATGTAATGTATTCGCATTCGGATAAACAATTTTATCAAATAAAATAAGGAAACATAAGCATGGTCGTCATTTGAATTCAGTTTTACATTAGTAACTCATATAACAATAATAGGGTATTTTACACAATGTAAAAAAAATCAAAGAATATATATTTATGATAGATTTTGTAAAAAGTAAACGAGAAATATTGATTTCCATTTATAAAAATGCATTATAAATTTTATATTTCAATTTAAAGAATATTTTTTTACCAGTGCCTCAAATCTGCAAAACGATGTCCACCATATTAGATAGCGTCGTGACGTCACTAGGTCAAAGAACTAGGTTATGTGCTGTGACTAACTAGCTAATTTCGAAATTTTTTCAAGTTATCTTTACGATAGTTGACTTTTATTCCGAATTTTATTGAAAAGGCATCATGGAAGACGGATTCGTAAAAGCGAGTTTATTACTTCGCTTTTAGAACTAATGTTATAGATATTATAATATAAGCTTAGGTCAGAAAAACTTTTTGTTATATTTTTTTGTACAAACCCTCAGACGAAATAAAAGTCACTTTTTTATTTGGTCTCAGTACAAACCATGTCTTTATTCCCATATAATAGAAGAAAACAGGAATTAAGTAAAACACTGCACTGCACTTGCAAGGACTATCAAAATGGGACAGACAAGCGATTAACCTAATCTATTACAAAATTCGGAATTCGTGTAGTGGCGGTCAAGAATATCCACTACCCCATATTCTCCCGTGGGTGTCGTAAAAGGCGACAAAGGGAAACAGCCAGGAGATGGGCAGCAGCATCTTCCTGATAATAGCCAAATTACAATAAAAAAACTGCGGTTGCCAACCCGCTCGCCAAGCGTGGCAACTATGGCAAATACCCCCCAATGATGAGAGCAACAAAAAAACGGCCCCCAGTCCCCGGCGGCCCCGCTATTCCTGGCTACGGTGGCGACCATGGTAACGGCGGGGCAGGGGGTGCTAAGAATCTCCGGTGGAGGTTCGGTTGCCACCTTAGACGACTCGACCTGGCAACGTACAACGCACGCACCCTGAGGACTGATGAGAAGATCGTGGAGCTGGAAGAAGAGATAGACAAGTTGCGCTGGCATATTATAGGATTATCCGAAGTCCGAAGAGAGGGGGAGGACACGGTAATCCTCGAATCCGGCAACTTGTTCTATCACCGGGAGGGCGACCACCTGTCCCAAGGAGGTGTCGGATTTATCGTCCACAAGTCTCTCGTTAACAACGTTGTAAAAATCGGGAGTGTGTCGACGAGGGTTGCGTAGCTTATACTCAGAATCACCAAACGGTATTCGCTGAAGGTCATACAGGTTTACGCACCAACCTCGGCACACCCCGATGAGGAGGTGGAGGAAATGTATGAGGATATCTCTAGAGCCATGCATTCCTCCAAAACCCAATATACGGTGTTAATGGGAGACTTCAATGCAAAACTAGGCACAAGAGAGAACGGTGAGCTGAAAGTAGGGAAATTTGGAATAGGGCAACGGAACCCAAGGGGCCAGCAGCTGGCCGACTTCATGGAGAAAGAGGGACTCTTTATGATGAACTCTTTCTTCCAGAAGCGGCCCCACAGGAAGTGGACCTGGTCGAGCCCCGACGGTTCCACAAAAAATGAGATTGACTTCATTATGACGACCAGACGACAACTGTTCAGTGATGTCTCCGTGATCGCGAGGGTGAAAACTGGTAGCGATCACCGAATGGTTAGAGGCACACTGAACCTAAACGTTAAGTTGGAGAGGTCTCGTCTAATGAAGTCAACGCTCCGTCCCCCTCGTGCTCTGTTCCAAAGTCCCGAAACCTTTCAGCTCGAGTTACAAAACCGTTTTCAGTGCCTGGAAGACTGCAATGAAGTGGACGATATGAATGACAAGCTCGTGGAAACTGTCCATGCGGTTGGAGCTAAGTTCTGCAAGACCCGCCGCAGAAGAACACAAAAACTCTCCGATCACACTCTTAATCTCATGGCTGTTAGACGGGAGATGAAGCTACATTCTTCAACAGACTTGACAGCATACAGGCATCTGAACAGACAGATCTCCAAATGCATGCGGCGGGACTTACGCAACTTCAATACAGCTCGTATTGAAGAAGCGATCGAGCGGAACCAAGGCTCCAAAGTCTTTGCCAGAGATCTGTCTGCCAGAAAGAGCCAACTGTCAAAGCTGAAGACAGAATGTGGCAGCATCGTTTCCGGGACACCTGAGATTTTGAGTGAGATTGAGAGGTTCTATGGGCAGCTGTACACATCATCGTTGGAGCCACACGCAAGTGTGAGTAACGATCCAAGAGCGAGTCTCATCCGACACTATTCCGAAGATATCCCGGATGTCAGTCTGAGCGAGATTAGGATGGCTCTCCAGCACCTTAAAAACGGTAAGGCTCCAGGCGAGGATGGAATTACAGCGGAGCTTCTGAAAGCGGGTGGAAGACCGGTACTTGAAGTCCTTCAGAAGCTCTTTAATTCCGTCCTCCATGGTGGCATTACACCGGAGGCGTGGAGCAGAAGTGCGGTGGTCTTGTTCTTCAAGAAAGGTGACAACGCTCTCTTGAAGAACTACAGACCGATTTCCCTTCTGAGCCGCGTCTACGTGCTGTTTTCGAGAGTCATTACGAATCGTCTCGCGCGCAGACTTGACGACTTCCAGCCTCCCGAACAAGCCGGTTTCCGAAAGGGCTTTAGCACCATAGACCACATACATACCCTTCGACAAGTTGTACAGAAGTCCGAAGAGTACAATTTGCCACTATGTCTGGCGTATGTGGACTATGAGAAAGCCTTTGATTCCGTCGAAATTTGGGCGGTGCTGCAGTCCCTTCAGCGGTGCCAAGTTGACTGTCGGTATATCGAAGTGTTGAAGTGCTTGTACAGTAGGGCTACGATGGCTATCCGAGTACAGAACCAGAGTACGAAACCTATCCAATTGCAGAGAGGTGTAAGACAGGGTGACGTCATATCCCCGAAACTCTTCACCGCTGCATTGGAAGATGTTTTCAAGCTTCTGGACTGGAAAGGATACGGTATCAACATCAATGGCGAGTACATCACTCACCTTCGATTTGCCGACGATATAGTCCTTATGGCAGAATCGCTGGAGGACCTAAGCACTATGCTCAATGACCTCAATAGTGTTTCCCAACGGATAGGTCTTAAGATGAACATGGACAAAACTAAGATCATGTTTAATGTCCATGTCACACCTATGCCGGTAGTTGTTGGGAACACTAAGCTCGAAGTTGTTGACGAGTATGTTTACCTGGGACAAATAGTCCGACTGGGTAAGTCCAACTTCGACCGAGAGGTCAATCGACGGATTCAACTCGGCTGGGCAGCGTTCGGGAAGCTACGACACATCTTCTCGTCAGATATACCTCAAAACCTTAAAACGAAATTGTACAACCAGTGCGTGTTGCCAGTGATGACTTACGGAACTGAGACGTGGTCCTTCACTGCTGGCCGTATGAGGAAGCTCAAGGTCGCTCAGCGAGCTATGGAGAGGGCTATGCTCGGAGTTTCTCTGCGTGATAAACTTAGGAATGAGGATATCCGCAGTAGAACCAGAGTGACCGACATAGCCCAACGGATTAGTAAGCTGAAGTGGCAGTGGGCCGGCCATATAGCTCGAAGAACCGACAACCGATGGGGAAGAAAGGTTCTCGAGTGGCAGCCTCGTACCGGTAGGCGAAGTGTAGGGCGTCCCCCCACGAGATGGAGTGACGACCTGGTAAGACATGCAGGAAGTCGATGGATGCAGGTGGCTCAGGACCGTGTTTTGTGGCATTCTTTGGGGAGGCCTATGTTCAGCAGTGGACTTGTGAAGGGCTGTAATGATGATGATGATGATGATTACAAAATTTGACTTGCAATAGGTACCTATCATGTTTAATCGATAGTTAAATATAAATCATACTTACATCAAAGTGATCTTCACAGAAGTATAGTTTAGATTTTGTAGACAATGCCTTCGGGTCTCTTCTTGCCAGTTTTAACAAAGTATTTCTCATATTTAAATCAGTTGGCACTTTAATCCATAACTTCCACGGCGTTCTTATGCTCGTATTTTTGCAATCAGGCACAACACAACAATGATATAAATGATAACTCATTATCAAACATTCAAAAGTATCTTATTCCTTTGCAAAATTGTCAAAACTCTACGACAGTGACGTCACGAGTTGAACAGTATGGCGGCTAGCGTTTTCACGCGAAAATTTGAAACGATAGATTAAAAGTAATTTTTATGTCACTATTCGGTTTTAAAAAAAATATATAAAAATTATAGTGGTTCATTATCACTCTAGGATTCATTTAAAACACTTTTTGAAAATGGGTGTGATAGCCTATTCACCATTATAGATATTATATTTTTGAAAATAGAACTTAAAATTAGTTAAATAAGTAAGTACTATAAAACACGCTCACGCCAACCCAATGTATCGTATAGTAGACTTAGTGGAGTGCGTGCACAAGATCGCACCGCCCCCTTCTCCGCAAGGCCCCCACCGTTGCTCTGCACAAGTACATTCATTTTCCAACAATAACTTTTCGAACTCGCTGCGTCATTCTAGAGGATAATGAGACAGACCGTTCTAAGAATCTGCTAAATGACACTTTTTTTAAGATTTGCCCTAACTCACCATGCTGAAGAAGTGGGTTGGTGAATACTCTTGTACAAGTCGCGGCACGTAAGTCTAGCGCTGAACGAAACGTGGAGGGGACGCGTACGAATTGAATTGAACGAATGCAACTGTAGAGCCAATCAGCGCGTGCAAACGATACGCTGATTGTCTCAATCATGTTAGGTATTACATACCTGGTAAGTTAGATCCAGCAATAGTGTGACCGCGACGAACTGGAGGGGCTCTCTGTGGCTGTTTCTTTGGTGGCATGGACTGCTCGGAGCCCATTTTGGCTGTCTGAAAAAGAAATAATATTTATCTTTGGAAGTTTCTAATAATAATACTATAGCCATTTATTTCCGAACATTGGGGTTGTACATTATTCTGCTCGAGTTCCTACTGTAGAACTAGTTAGAGTAAGTCCCTCAGTTCAGTGTGCCTTTTGGCATAGGCCTCCTCCAACTGCTACCATTGGACTCTGTCTGCTGCTACCCTTATCCAATATGGTCCCAAGGTCAGCTTGATATCGTCTTCCCATCTTCTGGTTGGCGACCTTGTTTTCTGACGCCATCTCTTGGTAACATAGAGTTATCTGCTTGCTCCAATTGTTGGTCTTGAAACAAATCTTGTGACCTGTCCAGCCCCATTTTAGATGGTCGATTCAGGTCTGGATGCCATCAACCTTGGTTTTATTCCTTATTGTGGAGTTGTTAATTCTATACTTGAGTTTTCATTCCTAACATACTTCTCTGCATTACTCGTTGGTCCGAAAATCCGTTTCAGTGATTGTTAAATAATTCCCACTATGTCTGCCTAATCATTAAAATAATAATTGTGTAATTATCGTTTTGTTTTATATTATTATTTTTTAATTTCAAATATAAAATAGATTATATACCATTGTATTGTCTTTATAATTATCATAGATAATTTTCTCAGTTTATTTTAATTTAGAATTTGAGAAATTTGTAAAGAATTTTATATAAGTAATTTCATTTTCTAAACAATTGTAATTAATTGACTTATCAGTAATATTTATAACAGTGGTTTGTTTTCATATTATATAAGTATTTGGATTGTCTAATTCTTACACAATTGAACTGTTGCTAGGTTCAGTTTTGATAGGTAGCAGGAATAGCTACCACCATTGTGTGTTATTATTGAAATGATTGCAATAATGATTGAGGTGCTTTTCGTGCTGTAAAAGTATTAAAGGAAACAACTAACAAATATTAACAGTGGTAGAGCCACGTGGCAGCTTTTGCTGTCGCACGGATGGGCCGGCTCGAACCGGGGTGGTACTACAACCTCACAGAAAACCAGCGTGAAGTAGAGGTTTACCTCTGCATTTCGCTTGGTGAGTGCAGGTGGCCGGAGGCCCTTTTTACTGGAAATGAGGCATTCCATCTTAGTCCTCACAGGTGACAACGCATCTATATTTTGATTTGTAATAGAGGATAGATGTAGATGTCTATGGGCCGCAGCAACCACTTACCATCAGGTGGACTGTGTGCTCGTTTGTCACCCTTATCCTATATAAAAAAAAAACAATCATGCGTATTATTATTCCTTTCTGCGACTCCTGTAATAATAATCATGTTATTTTACCACTTATAATGTACAAATTTCTCCTCCTAGGTCATTCCGTTTGACATTCAGATAAGGTGACAGCAGATTTTAATGATTTTTAGTTTATACATTTCAAGTTTCTAACTTTAATTCATTTTTAAATAGCTGCTAATATATTAAACTCAATTAGGAAGTAAATAATATAATTTGCTTTTTCTTTTATGTTACCCTATTACATTATACACTACACTAACATAATATTCAAAAATAACACAACTCAAAATAGAAGCAAGGAGAACTTAGGATGCACATGTGGGCAGCCCGACCCGGACACGTTAAGTTCGAAGGGGATGATAGCCGGTCTGGTGAGCGAGGAAAAAGCAAGTGAACTAAAAAACCCACCAACCCCTTCATGTTAGGTGACTTTAAATCCTGCATAGTGTGGCTCTGTTAATTATATTTTATTAAAATATTTAGATTTTACTATGATGTAGAGTTAAGATTAATTTAATTTTTTTTATATAACCTTAACCTTTGACATAGCCTCGAAAATATCATTTTCTTCAAAGTTTGTTCTACGATAGTATTCCAAAATTTTAGCATATTTTGGATTGATCTGGACTATTTGACTTTCAGAGTGTTGACCTTGACTTCTGAGTTTTTGATCTTGACCTTACAGATGTCATTGATCTCAATATTGATTGAAAATAAGTTTAGACCCATCACATGATTTTTCCCACCCTTACTACTCCCACTATCCCACCAACCCCGAAAGAAACTTTTATACACCTTGGTTTTGCTCAATTCGCTGACTTCAAAATTACACTAAAAAGGGTCTATTCTACCAAAAAAAATTGTTGCTATAAAAAGCGGCAGAAACTATTGCACAGCATTTCCAACACCTATGTTAATGGAAGTTTCTATAAAAAAAAAGAATAAAATAATAACTATACATATGTATGAAGAGGCTAATCTTTTGAATCTTCATGATACCAGACTGGTTTTCCACAATAGTAACAATTTCAGAACATGTTAACTATCAATTCTATAACTAAAATTCTATTCTATTTTTATTATTAGTCTCTTCTTATTTATAACAATCAAACAATAAATAATTAAAAGTAAAGACTAGAAATGAGTTGGGGGGTGGCTTGAACTTTAGGCCTAGTCAGTTTGAATAGCCTATCAGTAGAGGACGTCATAGGGGTCATGTTTGAATAGGGGCAAAAAGTTCTCATTACACTCCTAGGGGTCAAAATAGCCAAAAACCAAAAAATTAAAAATTCTTATTTCAACTATAACTCCGCCTCCTTCGGGGGTTCTTACACAGTCTTTACTACCCGCAACGCATTTGTTGAAAAAATAAATAAATAAGCAATTTAAATGTTTAAATTACTAAAAAAAGACCTGCTAAATAAATAAATAAATTATATGCTTAAGATAAGAGCTAAGATTAAAATTGATTACTATTTCTGTATATAACGTCCTATGTATCAATGCTATCCCATTTGAATTTTAGAAAATTATAGTAGCGGTACAGATAAGCAAATGACAAAATTGTGTGGATACAGAACAAACTTGTGTCTGAAGTAGTCTTTGCTGAACAGTCTCGGATTGGGGGCGACTAAATCTAGTCCAGTTTAATCCTCAGAAGACATAAGTTTGTGCGTTTACCACTAAAAAGAACCCCTTTGTCGTATCTCCTCAGTTTCAAGGCACTCCCCTTCTTGCCTCAGCCAGTATCGGAATCCTCGGAGTCGACATATCGAGTGACGTGCAGTTTCATGATCACTTGGAAGAGAAGGCCAAATTGGCCTCTAAAAAGCTTGGTGTGCTCAGCAGAGCGGGACATTATTTCATGCTGGCACACCGCCTGCAACTTTACAAGGCCTCACTTGGAATACTGTTCCCATCTCTGGGCAGGGTTCCCCAGTGCCAGCTCCTTCCACTTGACTGCATCCAGCGCAGAGCGGCTCGAATCGTCGATGACCGAGTCCTTTTCGATCGGCTCGATTCATTGGCACAGTGGAGAGATGTTGCATCTCTTTGCATTTTCTTTCGCATCTACCACGGGGAGTGCTCTGAGGAATCGTTCGGATTAATCCCAGCCGCCACATTTCACATACACACATCACGGCAGAACTCCCGATACCATCCACACCATCTGGATGATTGGCGGTCCACCACTGTGCGATTTAGAAGATGTTTGGCTCAGCTTTCCATTGACGTCAGTGGAGTTTGGTGTTGATACGTATTTTTACAGAAAGATTACACTATTATAAGCACACACACAATGTCTCAATATACGGAAACGCGTAATTTTTGAGAAAAGAATAATTGAAAATCAATTATTCTTGCAATGTTTACGTCTAATTTGCTAATAAACTGGCGCCATTTTGTAATGTCATTGTCGACGTTAATAGGGATGTCGATTCTTTCCGAAAAAGGTCGATTTTTAAATCGATTCAAATCGTAAGCTGATGTATCGGTTCACAAAAAATCGATTTCTAAAATGTCTATATTTTTTTAATGTTTCTATTTATAATGTAAATATAAACCCATTTTATGAAAAACAAGAAAGATACCTTGATAAATGATCTCTTATTGAAATTTGTTTTATTTAACAGTACCTATTAGGGCAGATAAATAAAATAGGTTAGGTTCAACTTATGTCAAAGAACCGAATTGATTGACCCCGACTCCACCTGGTACGAGTCTGTCCTACCCCTAGAGTGGTTTTATAGAGCCGGAGGCGCGTAGGGGAAGCAGCCTCCGCCTGCTGTAACAAATATGTATGTAGCTGTTACGCTAAGGCGTAGAGGTTGCTCTTCCCGCAGCGCCGGAGACGTAGCAGTCTCAAAATAGATACAGAAATCCTTATGAATCAGTCCCCTTATTTTTTTATGATGAAGGGGATTTTTTTCTCATAAAATGGATTTATATTTACATTATAAATGCAAACATGAAAAAAATATCGATATTTTAGAAATCGATTTTTTAAGAATCGATACATCAGCTTACGATTTGAATCGATTTAAAAATCGACCTTTTTCGGAAAGAATCGACATCCCTATTGACGTCGACAATGACATTACAAAATGGCACCAGTTTATTAGCAGATTAGACATAAACATTGCAAGAATAATTGATTTTCAATTATTCTTTTCTCAAAAATTACGCGTTTCCATATATTGAGACTTTGTGTGTGTGCTTATAATAGTGTAATCTTTCTGTAAAAATACGTATCAACACCAAACTCCACTGACGTCAATGGAAAGTCGTACCAGATGTTTTCTTCCTCGCACGACTTCCTTGTGGAATCGATTACCATCAGCAATTTTTCCGGGCCGATACGACTTAGGGACCTTCAAGACAAGAGCTTACTCCTTTTTAAAAGGCCAGCAACGCACCTGCGATTCCCTCCCTGGTGTTGCAGCTGTTCATGGGCGGCGGTAGTCACTTACCATCAGGTGAGCCCCATGCTCGTTTGCCCCCCTCTCCTATAAAAAAAGAAATCTTATATGTACACAAATACTACACTTTCATTGAAACTATAAAAATCTGTAAAATTTATTTCATTCAATACTTCTTTGATTGGTTAACAATTTTTATGAACCATGAACATTTTACTTACCTTGTACCACGAAGTTCGGAGACAAATAATGCTTAGAATTTTTCTGTATTTAATGATTTAATAAAAATTGTTTACGTCTCTATTG